CGGACCGTCTTCAAGGGTAGCCCCACGTAGAGCGCATTACAGAAGTCAAGTCGGGAAGTCACCAACGCGTGTGTCACTGTCGCCAGGCAGTCGTACTCCAGGGAGGGGCTGGCGCCGAAGAACAAATAACGACGGCGCCAGGCGGACCTCTCTGGGGAGCGCATTCCAGAGATGGGGCGCCACTGCAGAGAAGGCCCTCCTCCGGGTGCTCACCGTCCTAATGTCCTTCACGGAGGGCTCCTGGAGAAGGGCCTCTCCCGCTGATCTCAAGGGCCGGGCAGGCAGATATGGGCACAGGCGCTCCTTCAGGAACCCATACATTCACATGCTGTTGCCCAAGTCTGCCCTTCCAACCCTCCTTGCAGTCTAGGCAGTATCTTGGCAAGGAGGACTAGACTTCAGAAGGAAGGGGGGATGAAGGGCAGCACTGTTCATGCTCCCTGGAAGGGCCCATGTCTTCACCTCTGAGCTTTTGCTTCAGGAGGACCAGGAGCCCTTGTAAACAGTGGAAGGAAAGTCAGGCTTCTCAGCAGTGCTCGTAGAAACCCGGTTCTGGGCTTGCACAAGTGGTCCGCCAGTGCGTGGAACCTACCCGGACATCATGTGAAGCAGTGAGATCCTCCAGCCTTCACCGTGCCTTTGGTTTCTGCTGATCGGTGGTGGCTGGAGGTGCCCGTTTGGCCTCCCAGGGGAGAAGCATGTGCAGGGCTGGAGGGTGAGAGTGTGCTGAAGCCTCCTCCTCCCACAGGGCTTGGATCCGGCTCGCGTGAACGTCCCCGTGATCGGCGGCCATGCCGGGAAGACCATCATCCCACTGATTTCTCAGGTGTGTGTTCGCGTAGCACCATCGCTTCTGGGATCTTGTTTTTCTGGCCCTGAGAAGGAGCGGCTGGAGTTGGGGTTATGGGGGTCTCTTTTCAGCAACCCCCCCACCCCCACCGCTGACCTAAGGAGTGAAATTACAGGGCTTGTGGACAGTTCAAATTGGAGCAGAAGTGGGAAGGAAGGCGTCTGGAGCCAGTGCGGGAGGCATGGGTCTCGCCACGTCCAGGCCGGTGCCAAGGTGGTTCCATGTTGGACTGTGGCAGTGGCCCTGGTCTCACAGTGAGGAGGGTGGGGGCCACTCACCCCCCCCTGCATTAGGAGTCTGCAGGGTAGCCAGAAGGGGCCCCGCGGGTGATACCTGGTCCTCAGGCTGGCTTGCTTCCTGGCCCCTTCCAGCTCCCCCCATGTTAGACCAGGTGCATCGGAAGGGGTGAAGCTTTCCCGCAAGGCCTGGTGGGGCGTGCGAAGGCAGGGTGCAGCGCTGCAGCTGGTGCTCCGGGGGCAGGAGGAGGGGCTGGAGAAGCCCTGCCCTGCATACGCTGAAGGCGCCCTGCCCTTGCTCTGGGGAGCAGGAGCTGCCCCCAGGTCTCGGTGGCAGCTTCTTTAGGCTGGGGGGCAGGGAGTGGGGTGGTCGAGTCGGAGGTGGGTGGCTTGGCCTGCAGGCCACCCTTTCGGGGAGGGCCCGGTTTTATCCCCCCACCACCACCAGTTCTCTGGCGTGGCTTACGTGTAATAATGCAGGGTGATTCCTGCCTGAAAGGGCATGGCACAGGGAAAGGGGGTGGTGAGCCAAGAGAGAAAAATGAAGCCGTCTCTCAGCAGAGCCGGTGGACTCTCCCCGCTTGCTCCCTGAGAGCACCGTTGCGAGCGCATGAAGGCGGCTGGTGGGGAGGGCGAGCTTTGGGAATGTGTCTCTTGCCTGACCCAGAGCAAGTGTGGGCTTCAGTTGCTGACCCTTGGGTGCCTTCTGATGGGAGAAGGGAGAGTCTGGCTGCCTGAAGCCACTCACGAAAAGAAAAAATTAAACGCAGCGCTGCGGCGCGGTTGAGATCTGACGGAGGGGAAGCTTGCCCGGGCCGCTGAGGTAAACCGCTGCTGTTCGTCCCCTTGCAGTGCACGCCCAAGGTGGATTTCCCCCAGGACCAGCTGACGACGCTGACGGGGAGGATTCAGGAGGCTGGGACGGAAGTGGTCAAGGCAAAAGCAGGGGCAGGTGGGTGTGGAGGAGCGGCTCCCTGTCCAGATCCTGGGCCATTTTCCTGAGCGGAAACCAGCACGTGGTGCGGCGTGTCGGCCACGCTCCCTTGCCGGGCCAGCCGCTGACTCGCCCTGGTGCATCCGACGAGGTTGCTGCGAGGCTGGAACGGAGCCTGGGAGACTCGCGTGCACCTTGCGGGAAAGGGGCGGGTGTTCCTTGTAACCACAGTGCTTGGACGTTGTGTTGTGGGTGTCAAAGCAGCCTGGAAAGGTGGGTCTGGCCCCCCCCCCCCCCCCGTTACCATGTTCTGGGTGGATGGCCGAGGCTGAGGATGGCTGTTTACAGCAGAGAGGTGACTTAGATGGGGGGGGGCGGGTGCATCCCTCCCTCTCTGCCTTAACTAGCCCACTGCATCAGCTCCCTGCGAGCTGAGAGAATTGCCGGGCATTTTGCACGGCCAGTGTGCGATGGCAGCCGTTCCCTGTATCCGTGCCTTTGACGCAGTCCCCCGCTTGCTCCCACAGGATCGGCCACCCTGTCCATGGCCTATGCAGGCGCCAGGTTTGTCTTCTCCGTCCTGGATGCGATGAACGGCAAGGAGGGGGTTATCGAATGCTCTTTCGTCCGGTCGGAGGAGACGGAGTGTCCATATTTCTCCACACCGCTGCTTCTTGGGGTACAGAGCTCTCCTTTACCCTCTGCATGGGCAGTCCTCCTGCCGTTGATCACATGGCCTGGTTTGGTATCCTTCCTTTCAGGAAAATGCCACTTGTTCCATAGACAAATAAAACCGCGCTAGCAGGGGGATTTCTTGGAGGCATTTATCCGTGGGGCAGTAGAACTGGGACACGGAGGCCTGTTTCTGCATTGGCCCTTCAGTTTGATTTGGCCCAGCGAGCAAATCAGGCGTGGCTCCAGAAGGGCCAAAGTTTGCCTGCCTGGAGCTTCCAGCTCGCTCGGCTCTGGTGACACTCCTAGTGTAAGCGGCACTTTTTCTCCCCGAATGATGTGCTTCTATTTTCCAACCTTCCCTTCAGAAAAACGGCATTGAGAAGAACCTGGGCATTGGCAATATCTCTCCATTCGAAGAGAAAATGGTGTCTGAGGCCATTTCAGAGCTGAAAGCTTCCATCAAGAAAGGTGAAGATTTTGTCAAGAGCATGAAGTGACACGGCAATGACCAAGAACTGCAGTCCGCTTAATTTATTTAAGGTGCATCATGTCACTTTAAAGGCGTCTGATGGCAAAACTTTGGCTTTGCCCGAAGGCCCACGGTGTTGCCTGCCCTGTAATCTGTCAATTGGAATTCTTTTCCTCCATTAAAGAATCATTATTTTTTTCAGGGTATTCCCTGGGTAACTGGCGTGGTGGTCTTTCTGTGTGCCTGTGTCTGTTTGGTGGACGGAGGTTTTGCCCACAAGGGGCATCCCAAGGTCAGAGGTCTATTTGAGAGCTTTTCTTGGAGGAAATACTGGGTTTTTTAGTAGGTTGAGCAAAATAACCTGGACTGACTTCAAGGGGTAGAATTCACATACAAAGGCTGGCTCTAAGGTATGGTTGCCCATGCAGAGGTCTAGTTTATGCATGTTCAGCAGCACTGGCTTTCATGCACATGTTAAAATATTCCAGAGCTGGCTGTAAGAATAGAATTGTCTCAAACTGGTGTACCGAATAAAAACTGCAGAACAAAAATCAGTAAGGGCATGCTTAATTAAATAAAAAAAGCGAACAAGTCAGAACTTACCAATAAAACCAGTAGCCCAGGCATTGTAGGAAGTCAGAAAAACCCAGGGGCTCTTCTGAACTTTCTGGGAGACTTGCAGAGATAACTGACCCGACAAAACAGAGAGCCAGGAAAACACTCTGAGCCCTCCCTGGATGAGATCAAGCCACAGGGGACGGGATGGCTCATTCTGGCTATTTTCCGTTCCTCCTCTCACGGCATGTATGCACCCTTTCTCCTTCAGTGTAGCATCTCAGAAAGCAGTTTTCCTCCCACCACAGCTTGAAATAAATCATGATTTATAAATACATGTCTTATTTTGTCTTGCTGTAGCTGGAAAGCAGATTTCTACCCCGATGGCTTATATTCTGGCTAGGCATCAAGTTCTTTTTTAAAGAGACTCACAGCCCTCCAGCAGAACTTCACTTTCTATTGATGGTGTTTCTTGTGCTTGGAAGAGTATGTGAACCTCTCTGGAGCTTGCTTGGAGCCTGCCCCACAAACCTGGGTCAGGGGAACGGCTGCGTCAGATGTTTAGGGCCTGCCTGTTTTCTGATGATGCCTTTAGGGGCTCCCATTGGAAGCCTGGGAGGTCTCAGAATCTGCAGCCGGTTGGGGTACAGCTCAAGAAGCCTTGTGTTTGTGAGGGGTGGGGAGATGTGGGAACTAGGATGGGAAGAGACCTGGATTACCCTCCTGAGGAGGAGTTTTTGTCTTGGCATGCCTGTCAGGGTGTCCGGCCCTTCCGGGTACCCTCTTCCCTGAGCTGTGAGGTGCACCAGTGTTGGCTACACGTAGCCTTCCAAATACACGGAGAGAATAGGCCAGAGGCGAGGAGAACGCAAATGGCCCCTCGGGGAGCCGCTCCAGGTTCTCAGCCTGGTATCGTGCTCAGGGCTTCCAGTTCAAACAAAGGAAAATGGTCCTTAAAAGGCAATGTTAGAAGACTTTGGGACTAGTTCCAAATGTGACAGAAGTGACCCTCAAGGAGGAGAAATCAGTAGCAGACCAGTCTCTTCATTTTCTCAACACACAAGAAAGGGTTGTGAATCTGTCTTCAAGACATCCCTCATTAGACTGGAGTTTTGGACTACATTTCCCAGAATCCTTCAGCTCACTCTGTCACTATGTGCCTGCTATGTGGTCATGGTCCTTTGGTTTTGTCTTGAGGGTCACGTGGGGTGGCCCTAAATATACATAATGCAAGCTTTATCCCCTCCTTAACCCCCCCTTGCGCTGCACTTGTTCTTGACTCGGCCATATTGCCCCCCTTCTTAGCAACACTGCGAGGTAGTTGGGGCTAAGAGGAAGAGCGGCCGTGACCCATTGGTGTCCAGGAAGCTTCGTGGCTGAGGGATGCGAACCCACATTCCAGGCCTTACCCTGCCCTTCCTCAAACGGATGCGCACCAGATGCTTTAGGTCACCCCAGGATTTCCAAGTGGCTCGGCCCCACTTGGAGGATGCCGGTGTGGGAAACCCCTGCTCTGTTCTGCCTCATGGAGCACTGTGCTAGTCTGACTTGGTTGTGAGTTTCAGCCAACGCAGTAACCTACACTTAACGGATGAGAGCGTGTTGTACTACTCCAGCCTACTGAAACCTGGGCTGGTGTGTTGGCTGAACCTAGTCAAGATTACAGACCATAGTGAACCGGCCACGCACAAACCACAGGTTCTCTTCAAGGGCTGGTGTGTGGTTAACAAGCCAGGTTTCAGTGCAGCTGCATTCAGACAACATGGTAGCCTACACTTAACAGTGAAATGTGAGTTTTGTGCTGTCTGAACCCCCTGTGTGTCTGACTCTCTGTTTCTCAGCCTCTGTGGCATGGAGGGGATAGGGCTGCTATCTCTGAGGTCGGGGTACTGAGGCAGGGGGCTGCACGGAACTGGCTGGAGGTGACCTTCATACTGAACATCTTAAATCCCATGTTCTGCACATGCAAACGCCCTTTCCACAGTTGTTGTCTGGACCTAATATGCAGGTTTACTGACACTGGCAATGGGGGCTGCATTCAGAAACAAAATATGTGTATATTCCACATCTAAAGGGCTCTCTGGGTGATGGACAATGTATTCTAAAATTAATTATTCGTGTATTTATACCCCAACTTTTCCCTGTAAGGAACCCAAGGCAGCATACAGGATCCTTTGCTTCCATTTCATCCTCAGAACAACAACCCTGTCAGGTAGGTTAGGCCAAGAGTCGGTGACAGTTCCAAAGACACCCAGTGAGCCGCAAGGCCTCCTGCCGCCCAGCGAGCGCTATAACCACTAGGCCTCGCTGGCCTTCAGTGCCACAGTGCCCATGTGTGCGAGAGCTGGTGTGGTGTGGGCTGGGGATCTGAGTTTGAATCGCCACTCGATCATGAAACTCCCTGGATGTTGTGAGCTGCGTTTCCTGCCTCTGACAAAGACCAGCCTCAGGCTGTTACTCTTGCAAAACACTCTTTACTGGTTTCCAATTGTAAAACGTCCAGATGTGCCTCTGACCATACACAAAGTGTTTTGTTGACCCCAACCTAGTGTTTACTCCCCAGTGCTCTTCCTATGAGCTCCTTTGTGTCCCAGCCCTCTGGAAACACCCCCTTCCCACATGGCTCTCACCTAATGGACGCTCTCCTTCTGCTCACTCTTGGCCACGGAGTCCTGCTCCTCAATCCCACTGAAAGAGTCATCTTGGGGATCCGACTCAGCCGAAGTGGCGTGACTACTGTCATGAGGGAGCACTTGCCCAACCTGGCACAGGAGATCTTGGGTCATAGATCTTCACTCAGCCTCCCTCGCAGGACTGTTGTTCTGAGGATAAAATGGAGCTGCGCAAGTTGCCTTGGCTTCTGCAGAACAGAGAAAAAAGCAGTGTGATAATAATTAACGTGGATATGCCCCCTGGGGCGAGCTCATCTCCACCTCGGATGCCTCCGTCTCCAGAGGCAGAGCATCTGGGGGGGTTCCAGCTCCATCCCCATCCAGATGTGCCACCCCTGTGGCCACGGACCGTGCCGGCTGGGGCCGAGGCGAGCAGCCCCGGATGGGCCCCGGGGCGCTCTCCCTCCTGCTTTGTGCCACAGTTTGAAAGTGCCTTTTAATTCCGGCACAGGCCAAGAGATGGCGCCAGCGGCGTGGCTCTGCCCCGCTTTGCTCCTTACTCTTTCTGCTTTCAGGACACCTGCTGGATCGCAGAGGCCTTGTCCCTTCTCCAGATCACCCTTGCCGCAAGCGAGGACCACCTGGCCGGCCACCCTTCCCCAGAATCACAGATTTGGAGGGGTCTCGGAGACGGCCTGATCAACTTGTGGTCCTCCAGAAGTCCATGGAATGGCAACTCACATCTGCCCCTCATCACCGGCTATGCTTCCGCGGCAGATGGGAATTCCAGTCCAGCAACAGCAACCCACAGGTGGCCCACCCCATTGTGGTCCACCCCCCGTGCTCAGGGCCAGCTGTGCATTGCTGGCTGCAGCGATCGCATCCCGACAGAAGGCGGTCCAGGCCCTACTTGACGGCCTTCTGCAGAGGAGAGCTCATGGTCCAAGGCTGCCTGCTCCGCTGCAGAGTAACTCAGCCCCAGATGGCCCTGGAGGACTGGGGGTGCTATAGAGAGGCCTGTTGCATTAGGATAAGCCAGGTGTGGCTCGGTGGAGAGCAGGGGGTTCCACGCCTGGCATTGCTTTGGCAGTCCTCAGAGCTATCCATGCTCCTATGCCAAGCCCCACGCAAGTTCAGCACCATGACCAGCTCCTTTAACACGTCAGCCTGACATCCGGCGTTGCTTCATGGCCCTGTTGAGGCCAACGGTCACGGTCTGAGGACACCAAGTGGTCCTCAGAGCAGACGTAGCCCTCCCACCAGTGGGCTGACCTAGAAGATGTCCAGGTGGACTCTCTGCCTGGCCACCCCCCCCTCCCTGACCCCTTGGTATCCTGAAGCACCAGCTTGGAGGTTTGGACAGCCCGTGCCCAGTTTCTTTCATTCATCCTGCCAGTGGCCTGCTAGTTAAATTTAGACCCTGGATTTAACCCACTTCTGTCCTGTGGGATCCCCCAAACTAGGGCAAATCTGGCCCTCTCAAGGTGCCCCGATGGCAATGCTCCCTTCCTTCTCCAGCCGCCAATGTTGGGGTGGTGCTTTTTTCTCCCCAAAAAAGAACGCTTTGTTAAAGCAGCCATTTGCAAAACCTTGTGGCTTCTCTGGGCCACACTGGAAGAAGAATTGTCTTGGGCTGCACATTAAATGCAGAAACACTAATGAAAGCTGAGCAAAAAAAGGTCTGTGCATAATTTTCGTGATATTCGCCACCACAGATAAGCAAAGAAGTCCTCACAGGATAGTCCTAATAATGTGCCCCCTCCCCCCTGATCTGGAGAATCTTTTAAAATCGTTGAGCAGAAAAGAGGGCAACATAAAACTAGTCGGCTATTTGACACTGCGTCTGAGAAGGCGTCAGAATCTGGTTTGATGGAAGTAGTTGAAATTCTCAGTGAGTTCTCAAGGTGCCCATCAGATATTCTGGTTCTGATTTTACTCTTAGCGTGCTTCATTCTTGAAAATAGTTGCTCTCAAAGGTAGCTGCTTCCAAAAAGCGAAGACATGACTAAGATGTGATTGTGAAGCGAGGACTGTTTGTATCTGGCATGATA